GATGCTTTGCAGTGTGGAATAAGGAAAATAAGTCTACTCCTTTAACTGTCGAGGATCTTCCTGTAGCACACGGGGACTCGGTTTCTTGTCCAATCCGACTGGGTGGTTTTCCTTGTCAGCCCCTGCCGACCACCCTTTAAGCCATCAGTAGTAAATGTTGCGCTTGAACTACGTTTGGTCTCAACAAATTCTTTTTATAGTAACACTTACTGGCAATAGTCGTGTAAGGACGTCATCAACTGTTGAGTTGCGTCTATTGCGTTTGCTCCAAGACAAGCCATCAGGATGTGGATATCGTTGAAGGCCAGGATGTGATCTTCAGTGTGTGGTCGACAGATTTCAAACACATCTTTCCATCTACTGCCTACTTCTATATCTAGAAAGTAGAACCAAACGCAATGTGTCAGATGAAATGAACAACACTATGCAATTCGTTTTCATGGACAGAAATGGTTGAAAACCACTTGGTAAGTGTTGGATTCCCCACACCGGTCTCCATGAAGCACAGAAGTTTCTCTTTCAAGAAGAGGCGACTTACTTTCCAAGTTGAGTCTATATAACAATGAAGCACAATCCACTATATCCAAAAGAGCACCTGATTGTTCAGCTCGCTTGTAGATCTGAAAGTGAAAGGTAAAAGAGGATATATTTAGGGAGGTATACAGTCCTCTCATCCTCTCTCTTCTCATCTCTCCATCTGATCCCACCTTCCAACATCTCCTTCATCTCCTTAATCTCACCCATTCCGCTCTCTCTTTCCTCATCCCTCTCCTCTACCAGCAACTCTCAATCCTCGCCCTAATACTAAAAGTTTACCTCATTGTCAAATATCGTCAGTGCTTCTTCATACCGCCCATTTTCAATATAATAGAGACACCAGTGCCAGTAGTTATGACAAGCCAGCATTCCACATATCTAAAACAATGATGATTCAAAATACAGATCAACATATTTCGTTTCGGTTATTTTCTACGGGTAACTTGCTCATTCTTGTTCCACATTCTGCTTTTAACAAATTTGATTTGTTGAGGCAAGGATTTGTGCAAAGCGGCTGTATCACATCTGAAAGGATAATACTACATATTTGAGAAGTAGTTATCCCCCTTTGATTCCTTCCGGTTCCGGTTTGCTTACCGTCCAATCGTTAACTGTTCTATCCAGGAATGTTATGCCCTCATCTGATCTTCCAGTCATTTCCATCACGTGACACATTGTGTGGGTTGCCCATGCGTCATGTTTGTTCAGATCTAGGCTCTGCAAAAAAATTAAAATGAAGTTTTACGTCCTAATGTTCTGGTCGTTTAAGAATTCACTTGAACGAGTCATGAAGAGCCAGCTTCTAAACTGTGTCCTCTGTCATGTGGATCTGTGCCTTTTGGCTTTATATTGAATAT